TGGAAAAATTTGGTAGAGAAATTACGCGACAAATGTATTGATTTTCGCGTAAACAAGTCTCATGATTGGTGAGGGCGGAACCGAAAGGGTAAAAAGTAAGAATGTCATTGGAAAATAGAATAGAAGAAAGGGAAAAAGGGACTCTTAATAATTTAATAAATATTAATATATACATTGCCAGTGTTTTATTGAATTAATTAACTTTTAATAATAAAGTGAAATAAATAATAAAATTACAAACAAGTAAATCCTTTCTAGGATTCAATTTCAAGAACTCAATAAATTAAAATTTAAATTATTATTATAATTTAAATTCAAATTCAATTTGGCGGAATTCTACTTGTCCAATTTTAAAAAGAGAGAACGAGATTAAAACTTTCCAAGTGAAATATACGCTGAGTGTTACACTACCATTTTCTTGAGTTTTCGCCCTTAGGGCCAACCCATAGTTTTAACCTACCTAAGTAGGCTGGGTCAGTAAGGCCCAATAGAAATAAACTCTTAATGAGTTTTCACCATTTTCTTTCTGAATTTCTCCATTTTTCTTTTAAAAGGGCCCAATGGCAAATTTTCTCAACTCTTTTTTTCACGCCTATGACAAATTTTTCTTCTTCCAAGATTTTTCTCCGCCTTCGAGAAATTTCCCCTTTTTCGCTATTTTCCACCAACATTACAAACTCAAAAATTGTAGTAGGGACAAACCCTTAAAACCTATATTTCTGTACAATAGTCAGTCATTTAAAACATTCAAAATCTAGTCAATCAAAATCAAGTCTTTCTACAAGTTCTAAAATTATTTTACAATTCCAAAATTTTACAAAGTTATATTTCTACAAGTTCTAAATTCCAAATTATTCTACAATTTAAATATTTTAAGGAATTATTCTACAAATTCCAAATTTCTACAAAAATTTCAACTAATTCTACAATTCAAATATTTGAACGAAGGAAAAATATAATTCACAAATTTTACTTCTTCAAAGAAATTATTTACCAAATAAATAAAAGAAAGTGTTAAAACATTATTCACAAGTTATTTTTATTTCTTTTTGAAAACTTTCTTTAAATCTATTAAAATCTTTCATAATTCCAAATTCCAAAGAATACTGCCGTTTAAAGCTTGTATATTCTTATAATTTAATAGAAATAATAACCAAATTAATCCCGAGCTATTGGATGAGAATCCAGGCTCAAAATTGATTAATTAAATTTTAAGTAATGGTAATAATAATGACAATTTTTAAATAATTTTTAATTATTAATTATATATTATTTGAAATTTAAAAAATTTATTTATGTTGCATTACGTAACATAATGTTTTGTGACAACCTCCAAAGAGGAAATGGAATTTTTTTTCAATATAAATAAGATTCAAACTTTTACTACTAACTGCAGGCAGCAAGCATTATACACGCAGATTGGAAAAAAGGACATTCATTTTTTAAAAATATTATTGTTTTGTCACAACCCCCGATGAAACAGTGGAGATTTAACCACTAATTCGTAATCAGCGATCCCAAAAACCCCCCAATAGAGAGTTTCAAGCAAATCCGAACGATTTTTTAAAAAGAAGTCTGCCATATTGGATCCGCCATTTTGAATTTTTGAAAACTGACACCGGATTCGTAAACAGCGACCCCAAAAAACCCCCGAGTAACCAGTTTTAAGCCGGTTTAATTGATTTCTGACAGAAAACAATCTCATGTATTCAATACACATTATTTAATTACACAGCCCCACAAAAAAAAACAAGTGTCATGTACTTTTGACCGGAATACCCTAACCCTATGTATTTTGACGCGCTGAACACGAATCCGAAGTCCGTTTTGCTCCATCACGTCAGGATTTTTTTCTAACCTCAAAAAACATGTCGGATTTTGAGAAGTAAGCGATTTTTTTAAAAATTGATGTATTAACTTAAAACTTGGTATCTGGGGGTTTTTTGTGTCGCTGATTACGAATCTGAAGTTAGATTTTCAAAATCTAAAATGGCGGATCCAATATGGTGGATGAATTTTTAAAAAATTTTAAGATTTACTTCAAACTTGGTATCTAGGGTTTTTTTTGGGTCGCTGATTACGAATCTGATGTCAGATTTCCGAAATTCGATATGTCTGATTCAATAGTAAGGAATTATTTTAAAAAAATTGTCAGATTATTATGAAATTTGGTATCTACAGGTTTTCTAAGTTGCTGACAAGTAACACTAGGGAAGTGCCATACGCCGATTTTTCTGAAACTTGGCAGTTTAGTAGTTTTTTGAAAACAATTTGACACGTATGTTTTGTTTTTTCCCAAAAACAAATCTCTATCGTGATCATGACTGTATTCAATGGTTCATTAATGAATTAAAAAGTATTGCCAACAATGTAAATGAGGAATATTTTTCCAAAATTATCCCTATGAATAAATTAACTAAACAAGAAGAATTAGATTTTTAAAATGCTAAATTGTGTCACATTTGTGAGAAACCTTTTCAAAATAATGATGATGATTTAAAACACCATGATCATTGTCATTTTACTGGTAAATATCGTGGTCCAGCTCATCAAAGCTGTAATGTAAATTTCAAATTCTCTCATATTATTCCTATTGTTTTTCATAACCTATCTGGTTATGATTCACATTTTTTTATTCGAACTTTTGCGACTGGTTTTGATGGAAATATTAGTTTATTACCTATTAATAAGGAAAAATACATTTCATTTACAAAAGACGAGGATAATACAAAAATTAAATTTCGATTTATTGACTCTTTTCGATTTATGGCAAGTAGTTTGCAAAAATTAGCGTCCTACTTGACTGATAATGAAAAACAAATTACAAAACAGCATTGTCTTAATGATGAAGAATTTCATTTATTAACGAGAAAAGGTGTATTCTCATATGAATACATTAATGCATGGTCACGTTTAGATGAAGAGTGTCTTCCTTCAAGAGAATCATTTTTCTCGAATTTGAACAATTCAGGTATTTAAGATGAAGATTATCTTCATGCACAAAATGTATGGGAAACATTTAATATAAAGAATTTAGGACAATATTCTGATCTTTATCTCATAACAGATGTACTTCTCTTGGCTGATATTTTTGAAAATTTCCGAAAAACTTGTATTTATACCTATAAATTAGATCCTTTACATTACTACACAGCACCTGGACTTTCTTTTGACGCAATGTTAAAATTTACAGATATTGAAGTGGAATTATTAACAGATCCTGAAATGTTATTATTTATTGAATCCGGTATCAGAGGTGGTGTCTCTCAATGCTCCAATAGACATTCTAAAGCAAATAATAGATACATGGGGCCAGAATTTAATTTGAATTTACCTGAAAAATATACTATGTATTTCGATATTAATAACCAATATGGTGCAGCTATGTCAGATTTTTTATCTTATAGAGAATTTGAATGGTTGTCAGATATTTCAAAAATTAACATTCACAATATAGCTGATGATTCATCAATTGGCTATATTCTCGAAGTTGATTTGGAATATCCTGTAGAATTACACAATTCTCATAAGGATTTACCTTCATGTCCAGAGCACTTTGTATTACCCCACTCAAAGTGTAAAATTCCTAAATTAATGACAACTCTTTTCCCTAAGAAGCAATACATTGTACACTATAGAAATAAATTGTACTTGGCTTTAGGTATGAAATTAACAAAAATTTACAGAGTTCTTCAATTCAAACAAAAATCTTGTTTAAAGAGTTACATTGATTTGAATACGGAAATAAGAAAAAAATCTAATGAGTTTGAAAAAAATTTCTATAAATTAATGAATAACGCTGTTTTTGGTAAAACGATGGAAAATGTTCGAAAATATAAAGATGTGTTTCTCTCAATGCACTCACCTGTAACAAATTTCATTCTCTCTTCATGATAAAGTAAACACTCGACCAAAATATGGTGTAATACGTCACCTACTAACAATCCACATCCACTGCATGTGCCACATTCTTGCAATTTGTATATTTTTTTATTAAACTTAAGTGAGGATTGGTAAATGTTAAAAAGTCTTATTTGTGACAGAAATCTTATGTATTTTAATGGTAAATTAATAAGAAAGTATTGTTGGAGATTGTCTGAAATAGATAGGTGTGGTAGGACACACAGTGAACGAGACTCACACAGGTTTCTTAAATCTTCCGCATAAAGAAAATTTTGGTATTCGCCAACCCATGACACTTTGTTTGCTCGTAGGCTATCCAAGGTTAAATTCTTCCAATCATTTTCCTTATCAATGTATTGAAATATTTTTCCTATTTGTGAATAACAATTATATTTAGAATACTTCTCGCCGCTTTTTGATATAGATCGTAGTTTTAGAAAACATAATTTAGGATATCGTTGATCGTTCATGTTTAAAAATTTCTCTGTATAATTCAATGTGTGTTTGAATATCAATGCTGACAGTTTATATGAGCCCGCCCAGGTGAAAAAATTATCGATAGACTATTGATAATTTTTGGAGAGTGACTATCGATAGTCACTATTGAAAATAAAACGATAATTTATCAATAGTGCGACTATTGAAAAAAATTAATTTTCTGGTAAACTCGTAAAACCTGTTTTTATTCTCCGCAAATCCAGGATGGCTCAGGGTGTCCCTCCGATGTCCAGGACATTAACCAGCGTCTTCCTCGGGGAAGTTGGCCCTGGTTATTGTCTCTGCACATCCAGGATGACTCAGGGCGTCCCTCCGATGTCCAGGACATTAACCAGCGTCTTCCTCGGGGAAGTTAGCCTTGGTTTTTGTCTCTGCACATCCAGGAAGGCTCCGGGCGTCCCTCCGATGTCCAGGACATTAACCAGCGTCTTCCTCGGGGAAGTTGGCCTTGGTTATAATATTAAATAATAAAAATTATAATAGTTAATAATAAAAATTATAATATTTAATAATAAAAATTATAATATTTAATAATAATAATATTTTATTGAATATTGAATGTTGAATAATATTGAAAATTGCATTAAATAATTAAAATATTAATTTTTTGATGATTTTAATTGCATCTCTCGCAGTTTGCAACGAAGACTAGCTTTGACAGATTGGTTATCGAGAACTGTCCACTGTGCATGCTTTGCGGTTGCCCTGGCATATTCTGAAATATAATAGAGAATATAATTATTTTGTTGTAAAATTTATTGTCTTTTCTATTCTGTAGAAAATTTAACAATGAAATTTTTTTTTATAATTTAAGATACTGACAAAATTTTTAACAATTTATTTTTTGAAAGCCGTATGTTCGTTTTAATTTCTCTCATATTCTAGAGATATTTTTTGTCTTCCATATTTCCCTGACTTTTTCCTGACATTAAAATATTTTTTCCTGTCCAAAATTTTTTATTGTAGATAACAAATTTTAACAAAAATCTAATGATATAATAGTAAAAAAACATTTCGCAATTTATTTTATTAATATTCTACTTAATAAAATTTTGTTATTATTTTTTTAATTTGATTTGTTTTTTATTTTAAATTTTATTCAATTTCGAAAATTTTCCTCAAAAAAATTTTTTCCTCGACATTTCCTGATTTTCCTGCCAAAAACATGTTCCCTGACATTTTTCCTCACAATTTTCTGACCTCGATAATTTGTGGTAACTCTTTATCTGAATATATAATTGATTTTAAAAAAATAATTCATAATTTAAAAAGTAAACTTACTTAAAATGGTACGAATTGCGTGGGGAGGCAAACCATCTCTTCTTGTTTTTAATTTTCCTTTTCCACATAACGAATATTTCAACAAAGCATTCTGGGTAAAAATTGAACACATTAACTGTCTCGCCAATGTCGTCTGAACAGATGATGTCGCCCTAGCATTCTTCAGCGCACTTTTTTCAATATAAACATCGCTGCCATTAATTAATTCAACAGCCTATATTCAAATAAATAATTTAGTTAATATATTAAGTAATATTTACTTAAAAAATACACTTCAAACATGTAAATTATGGAAACTTGAAATTTTAAATGTATTTTTATATAAAGTTTGTTTATTTATTTATTTAAATTTATATATTTATTATTTGTAAATAAAAAAATATATATAAAAAAACAATAAACAGTTTATTTTTAAGGAATCAAAAACTCAACATATAGCAAGATTTTTTAATGATAAAAAGGAAAACTTTTATGATTGACATATAATTTTTCCTTACCTTTTCACCATTTTCTTTCGTAAAAAGAAAAATTTCTTCTTTCTTTTTCTCTCTTTTGTCTTCGTTTTCGTCCTCCACATTGTCAGATTCATTATCGTCTTCTCCTTCATAATCATCATCTTCTTTTTCTTCTCCTTCATCATCATCATCATCTTCTTTTTCTTCTCCTTCATCATCATCTTCTTTTTCTTCTCCTTCATAATCATCATCTTCTTCATCTCCTTCATCATCATCATCATTATCATCATCATCATCATCATCATCATCATCATCATCATCATCATCATCATCATCATCTAATTCCTCTTCTTCTTCTTCTTCGTCTTCATCATCATCTTTTGAGATCTCATTTTGACTTAAATCTTGATTATCCTTAGCATCCGCAGTGTTGGAGGCGGAAGCAGAAAGTTGAGTAGATAAATCAAAGCTATCATTGTCATTTGTAAAATCCAGTTCATTCCAGGGCGCGTTAAAATTTTCAAACTCTTCGTTTTCATCCTCGTCAGTTTCGTATTGAGGAACCAAGCTTTTTGTTGTGTTGAACGTGAAAGCAGGAAATTTACTAGTTGAGGCGTGAAGTTTACTAACAGAAGCAGACGCTTTACTAGTAGAAGCAGGCGTTTTACTAGTAGAAGCAGGCGCTTTACTAGTAGAAGCAGGCGTTTTACTAGTAGAAGCAGGCACTTTGCTAGTGGAAGTAGACGCTTTACTAGTAGAAGCAGGCGTTTTACTAGCAGAAGCAGGCACTTTACTAGTGGAAGTAGACACTTTCCTAGTAGAAACAGGCGTTTTACTAGTAGAAGCAGGCTCTTTACTAGGAGAAGCAGGCGCTTTACTAGTAGAAGCAGGCGCTTTGCTATTGGAAGCAGGCACTTTACTAGTGGAAGTAGACGCTTTCCTAGTAGAAACTGAAAAATCACTAGTGGAGGCAAGCAATTTACTAATAGGAGGCACTTTACTAGTGCAAGCGGGAAACTCATTAGTGGAAGCAGGCTCTTCATTAGTGAAAGCGGGAAATTCATCAGCAGAAGCAGGTAGATTACTAGTTGGAGCAAGAATTTCACTAGTGAAATCCAAAAGTTTGCTAGTTGAAGCAAAGCTGTTTGATGAAGCTGCAACATCCGTTGATTTGAACTCAGTGATCTCCTGAAACGATTAAAAAAATTTTTTAATTATGATAATATATTTTTATAACACCTAGCGCCAAAAACTCGACCAAATCGCAGTTTTGGACGCAAAATGTTATAAAAAACTATGTGTGGGGCATGGGTGATAATAAGAGAATCTCTACTCTTATGTGATTGCCTCACTCGCATCGATCGTGCGACAAACTCACATGAGTTTTGATCGCGCTACTTTTTACGCCCTTACCACACAACGTACTATTTTATTCATTTTTTAATTTATTTTTTAAAATTTAATTTATTTTAATTTTACTTACTTTTTGAAGCAATTCTAGTACATTCATCAAATTTCTGGTTATGCGCAGTGCCACGTCTGCTTTCTTTTCGATTCTGAATAAAGCAGAATTTTCATATGATTCTGCATCTAGAGACTTCAGAATCTCTTTGCTGCTAAGAACATTTGCTTCTCTTTTTAATCGTTTTTCGTTTTTCTAAAGAAATGCATATGATTGTAATACATTAAACACATGAATAAATAAATGACATATAAACATAAATTCGATAAAACATCACTATATACCTTTTTCGCGTTTTCCTTCTTTTTCGACTCTTCATCCTCTTTGTTACCTTTCTTCAATGCTTCTGTTGCTTTCCTCTTTCTACTTTGACGAGTAGATACTTTTCTGTCTGTTCCATTGTCCTGTGATTCAACATTCTCTTTATTTAATTCTGTAAGGTCTTCTTTGGCCTTCCTTTTCTTTCGAGAAATTTTACTCTCATTTAAACTTTTTTGCAATTTTGTAATTTTTTTTTGCAACTCTGATTCATTATCTAAAATCATAAGCAAGCAATATTAAACATTTTTCAAACAATTTTTTAGAGTGCAATTTGTAAATTTTTTTAGTAAAAAATAATAATTATATAATAATAAAATGCTTGGTCTGTCCTTCTGTCCTAACTTGAAGTTGGTCTTTTATGATTTCACGTGTTTTTTGAATAGTAATCTTATGTCGTGTCAAATTTGTGTCAAATTAAACTTGAAAATTTTAGAAATAATTAAATTTCAAAAGATATTGTTAATTTTCAAACAATAATAAAATTTTACAGAACTAAAAATAATTTATCAAAAAAATTTTTGGAAAACATTTTTTAAATTTAATTGAATTTTCAAAAGTTTTAAAATTAAGATTTTAGAAATTAATTGAACTTCAAGTGATTTTAATTAAAATTTTATATGATTTCACTAAAAAATTTATTAGAAATTACATACAAAATACAATAATTTGATAATCATTTTTAATTGAAAAATGGTTTCAGATAGTTGAATTTTCAAAGAATATTATAAAAATATTTAAAAATAATTGAATTCCCTTAGAGTTATAATTGAAATTATTAAATTTCAAAAAATTTTCGATGGAAAATTTTAGAAATAATTAAATTTTAGATGCTTTTAAATTCAAATTATTGAAAATTCAATTAATTTTGAATTCAAATTTTTTAGAATAATTATATTTTCTTTAATTTTGATTTGAAATTTCGGAAAATAATTAAATTTCAATTAAAATTTTGGATAATAATTCATTTTTAGTTGATTTTTTTTTAAACTACGAAAATAATTGAATTTTAAAAGATTTTGAATTAAAAATTTGGAAAGTAATTGAATTTTCTTTGATTTTGAATTAAAATTTTGGGAAAAAATTGAATTTTAGTTGATTTTGGAATTGAAATTTTGGAAAATAATTGGATTTTTGTTAATTTTCAATAGAAAAATTTGGAAAATATTTGAATTTTAGTTGATTTTAAATTAAAATTTCGGATAATAATTGAATTTTATGTGATTTTAAATTGAAAATTTAGAAAATAATTGAATTTTAAAAGATTTTAAATTAAAAATTTGGAAAATAATTGAATTGTCTTGGATTTTGAATTGAAATTTTGGAAAATAATTAAATTTCAATTACAATTTTAAATAATAATTCAATTTTAATAGATTTTTGATAATTAATTTTGAAATGAAATTTTAGAAAATAATTTTATTTTATTTGAATTTAAATTGAAAATTTGGAAAATAAGTGAATTTTAGTTGATTTTGAATGGAAATTTTGGGTAATAATTGAATTTTATTTGATTTTAAATTGAAAATTTGGAAAATAATTGAATTTTAAAAGATTTTGAATTTAAAATTTAATAATTAATAATCTGAGGCCTATAAACATATAATTTTTATTTTTATCATTTAATATGGAATAATATTCTAATAAATTTAAATAATTATTGATAATATTAATTTTTAATTTCTCTATAAGAAATAATTAAATACTCAATTTGGCGCGCTTGCGCGCGTTTAATATTGCTAGTAATAAAATAAAATAAATAACAATTATTTTTTCATTTTTTTACTATTTAATTTAACATATTAAGTACATTTTTTTATTCTTAATTATAAGTTATTTTTTAAAATTATTTCTTTATCATTTTTATTATTTTTATACTGTGTATTATAAAGAAAATAAAAATTATCAATAAAAATTATAAAATTTATATTATAAAAAATAAAAAATATTGTACAAATCTCTCAAAATAAAAAAAAAGCACAAGATTATTTTTATATATATATTTTTTTTTGTTTTTAAATAAACTTACCTGATATCGCAATTATTTTTCCTTTGTACGTTTTGCGATGAAGAGCATTCTCAGGCCACAAATAGGAAATTTGAGAACCAACTTTTAATTCTGGTTGATTTTTATCGTGAATAATAGAACTTTTATAGAGAATCGTGAAACAATTATCTCCCTCTACTAAACATTGTTCTTCCATTTTAACTGTTTTATCAATACAAAACTCACTTTGAAATATAATTTCAATCAGGTTTTTGGTTAATGTTTACTGTGTATGACATTAGTGCAGCGCGTTTTTTCGTGTATAAACAAATGAATAAATAACAAATTCCTTAGTTACTGGAAGCAAAGTACAATCGCACTCATAATGGTATCATTTTTACCATTTTACGTGATTTGACGAAATACTTAAAAAAAGTTAAAAATTAGTATCGTCCTGAAAGTTTACAAACCGTTAATTTAATGTTAAAATACAATGAACAGCTGACATTTTATTTGTTATCTAATTATATCTCATTGTTTTTTTTTTAAAAACATGAACGAAAATGATTTTGAAATGAGTGGGGTGAGATTTTACTGATATAATTGTACTATAAAATATCTCGAAAAAAGAAAATTAATTATTATTTCAGTTATCTTATTTTTAAATTTTAGCTATTTTAAATAAAAATATTTACTTAAAATTTTTTTAATAGTCTAATAAATTATATAAAACTGTATTTTTTTTTGTTAGGTTAAAATTACTATTTAACTTTTAAAGTTGGTTAACAACGTACAAACAAATTAGATATGTGCAATATTTAAAAATAAACATTTTAATTTAAATATAAACAAAATGTTATTTAATCTTAAAAACTCGAATTATTTGTAAAAATAATAAAAATATTTTTTTTAATTGTAGCAAAAGGTTAAATTAAACAACAAATTAATGAAAATATTTATTATGTTTATCTCTTTTTTTGTTAAATTTTATTTATAATTTTTGTGGTGTTAAAACACTTTAACACGTGATTAAATTAATTAATATATAAATATATGTTTTTATAATAAAATTAAATTTTATTTTTGGATTTAACCACCTAATTTGAACAGGTGCTGTTAAAATAAAATATTAGTTTTAGAAAAAGTAAATATTTAAAACAATTTTAAATTTTATGTGTTTTTTTGTAATTAAAAAGATAATAATAATGTAATTGAAATAAACCATATTAACCTTATTTCTTACTCCTTTTATTAATTATTTCAATTTTACATAGAAAAGAAGAATAAATTATGCATCAAGTACAATACTTTTCTTTTTTATTTAGACGAAGTTTATTTTATTAATTTCATGACTCAGATAACAGTTTCTTTATATTGAAAATAATATGCATTATAATTAAATCGATCTTGCTGTTTCCGAATGGAATTTGAATTTGTTCAAAAACACACACATATATATATATATATATATACATATATATTATATTATATATTAAATTAATTGAATCGTTTTTCAAAAAATTGCTTTAATTAAATAAAAAATTTTCTTAAATCAAAATAGATTTATTTTAAATACATAAATATATTTCATTTTTTTATTTTACGTTATTAAGGATGAAAATTATTTACAATCAAATTCATCGTCGGATGTTTTCTGGGATACTTCTTCATCCATTTCAAGTGCAAACGACGGAGAAGATGGATTTTTTGGCTCTTCTTTTGCTTCTTCATCAATTTCAAGTCACGTGCTTTCTGCTTCCTCATCTACTCTTTCATTCACTTCAAGTGTTAACTTTAATGAAGAAGATACAAATCGGGTACCACAGATTTCTTCTTCTTCCAACGTGTCTTCAATTTCAAGTAATAATTTTGTTGAAAACATGGATGAGATTTCCGATTTCTCTAGCACTTGTTCCAGTTCAAGTTTAAATTTTAACGAAAATATGGATGACGATTTCAAAATAGAATGGCTTTTTGAACCGCTCTACGTTGGATCAAGTAGTTTGAATGGGGATATTTTAGTTCAAATTTTCGATATTCTTGTAAACAGCGCTGTAACAAAACAGGCTCTCGATAAAACTATTAAACTTGTGCAATCTGTAACGCCACCGGGTGCGAGTAACTTTCCGAAAACAAGGTATTTCCTATTAAAATTATTAGAAAAATTGATGCCTCATTCTTTTTCCGAAACGGTAATAAGACATAAGATTTGCGACCGCTGTTTTAGATATCTAGGAAAATTTAATGTAGAACCACCAATTACCGTTTGTGATGTTTGCTCCAATCCCGATTTAAATGGAATGGTTATTCAATTTAGTATTAGCGCTGCGTTACAAGACGCTTTCGAAATTAGAAATTTGCAGCATTATATTGACGAATATAAAATAGAACGTAACGTGAATCAACATGAACATTTAATATATGATATCACTTCCGGAAGTGAATTTAAACAACTACAAGATACAGTTATGTTTGGAGATTACGATTTGTGTTTGCTCTGGAATGTGGATGGAATACAGACTGATAACGACAATGGTGAAATGTGGGCCATTCAGGCCCAAATCTTGAACGTTGGACCGAGAAGTAGACGAAGGTTTCAAATGCTTTGTGGCGTATATTATAGCAATGTGAAATCCAAGCGTAAACCTGGAATGGCGGCGTTTTTAAAGCCATTTACGGAGGAACTAAGGAATTTGTCAATCAGAGGATTCAAATGGAAACAAAAATGTACAGGTAATATCATAACATCTATAGTGATTGCTCCAGTCGCCACATTGGATGCTCCAGCTAGATGCGTGGCACAGAATATAATGCAGCACAACGGAGAATTTAGCTGTTCAACGTGCGAACAACGTGGAGAAACTTGTTTCACTGGAGCGGGTCATAATCATGTTTTTCCCTTAGAAGAAGATTCTCCCCTAAGAACAAGGGAAAGGATGTTAAAACAAGGAAGAGAAGCTATTGATGAAGGAGTAAAGCATAAAACAGGTGTAAAAGGCCCTTCCATTACAGCACAGATTCCTCATTTCGACACAGCAAAAGGTTTCGTTCCTGATTACATGCACGCCGTTCTATTAGGTGTTGCTTTGATGCTCTTAAGTCTTTGGTTTAGTCCTTCAAGTAACGATAAAGCTTTTTACATCAAGAAATCGCTAAGGGAAGAAATTGACAAACTATTGCTGAAAGTAAAACCTCCGGATTACATCACGCGAGTACCAAGGTCAATAGATTTAATATCACACTGGAAAGCATCTGAAATTCGAGCCTTTCTTTTGTATTATGGTCCCATTCTTTTAAAAAACCGACTTCATAATCTTTATTACAATCACTATTTACTACTGGTGAAGGCAATATATATATTATCCCAAGATGTCATCAAGCCGGGGGAAATCGATTTAGCTGACACTTTGCTTCGCATTTTTGTATCTGACGTGAAAGGTTTATATGGACTTGAAAAATGTTCTTTCAACGTGCACCAGCTTTTACATCTTGCTGCTTATGTTCGAATGTGGGGTCCACTTTGGTCCTGGTCTGCTTTCCCATTTGAAGATGGAAACGGCTATTTAATAAGAATGATGCATGGGACAAGAAAGTTAGATCTAGAATTGGCTAATACTATGCGCTATGTAAATGCATTACATTTAGTAAGCGATTTGATGCAATTGAATGTCATTGATAAAAATTACAATGGAATTCCTCTTGGTGCTACAGTACATTGTAACTTACCTGAAAATTACATTTCAGCTATAAATCAAACTCTTCCGTGCAGAGATGTTGAAAATAGAATTATCTTAGTCTATCGCAGAATAGAATTTCGAAATGAAAAATTCAAATCTTCAATTTATTCAAACGAAACAGCGCGCAATAACTCGTGTATATTTTGGAGCAACAAAAGTAAATTCGGTAATGTGAAGTTATTTATTCAAGTAGAACAACGATTATTTGCTATTGTACAAGAACTTTTTAAAACCTGCGACTATGTTCCAAAAGATGTGATTAAGAATTCAGAAATTAACTTTAATTTTAATACGAGTATCATTCCTGTGCGCGACTCATACATTATAAAAGTATTACCAATCGAAGAAATTGAAGGCAAACTTTTATGTGTAGAGAATTACGTTTGCTTCGCTCCGAATCAATTTGAACGCAAATAAATTAAAAGTTAAAAATATTGATCGGTTAAAAACATAAGTTTTTGATTTGTTGTATTGAATCTTCTTAAAAATTAAACTTCTTTTCTGTAACTAAAATGTTCTTTCACTGCATCTTTTATTAAAAACTTTTAAAATAATTACTACTTTTATGAAATGTTCAAAAATAATTTTTCAAGCAAATAAGTTACAAAAATTTCTTAAATTTTTTACAACTTTAATTTATTCTGTAATTCCATTTTTTTAACAGTTAACAATTCATCAAATAAATTGTTGATAAGCGACTATCATCATAAGAATTGTAGACAACATTCCGAAAATTACAAAGAAGGAAAAACTTAGCGCAAATTTTGCAAAGAATACGATGGTTAATGTCCTGGACATCGGAGGAACACCCTGAGTCATCCTGGATGTGCAGAGACAAAAACCAGGGCTAACTTCCCCGATGAAGACGCTGGTTAATGTCCTGGACATCGGAGGGACACCCTGAGTCATCCTTGATGTGCAAAGACAAAAACCAGGGATAAATTCCCCGAGGAAGACGCTGGTTAATGTCCTGGACATCGGAGGAACACCCTGAGTCATCCTGGATGTGCAGAGACAAAAACCAGGGCCAACTTCCTCGAGGAAGACGCTGGTTAATGTCCTGGACATCGGAGGAAAACCCTGAGTCATCCTGGATGTGCAGAGACAAAAACCAGGGCCAACTTCCTCGAGGAAGACGCTGGTTAATGTCCTGGACATCGGAGGAAAACCCTGAGTCATCCTGAATGTGCAGAGACAAAAACCAGGGCCAACTTCCTCGAGGAAGACGCTGGTTAATGTCCTGGACATCGGAGGAAAACCCTGAGTCATCCTGGATGTGCAGAGACAAAAACCAGGGCCAACTTCCTCGAGAAAGACGCTGGTTAATGTCCTGGACATCGGAGGGACGCCCGGAGCCTTCCTGGATGTGCAAAGAATAAAAACAGGTTTTACGAGTTTACCAGAAAATTAATTTTTTTCAATAGTCGCACTATTGATAAATTATCGTTTTTTTTCAATAGTGACTATTGATAGTCACTCTCCAAAAATTATCAATAGTCTATCGATAATTTTTTCACCTGGGCGTCTTTAATCTAATCGCATATCCGGGTGTATTTCTAGGTAAATGCAAAA